GAACAAACTATATTCCTTAGTGAACGAACATGAATAAAATATTTTTGTTCGTTTATGTTCGTGTTCATTTATGTTCGTTTATTTATTAAATTAACGAACATAAATATACTTCCATTCGTGTGTGTTCGATTCATTTACAGGCCTATTGATCAAAACTCTTTGATGGAAAAAAAAAGAGCTATGGGAAAGAAAAGGAAGGAAGAGAGAGGGCGGCAACTAAAAGAGATTAACTTTCTATAGTTCAGAAGACAGACAGGTGTTCGTAAATGGAAGGTTTTTTCAGGGTTCTGGAAAGAGAAACTGAATTTAGGTAACATAAAAACTGGGTATTCCACTAAATATCCTCAAACTATAGTTCAGATTCTAAATTGATCCCCAAAGATCAATTTTTTTCAATTGAACCCTTAAAGTCTTGCTATTATTTTATCATCTAGGTCCTTTAGTCAACCTACCGTCAATCTAGACATTAATTTGATAGTGCTTGAGGTTAGGGGGTTCAAAGCCGGGTACCCGGGGTTTTCGGGTAGTTGATTGGTCGGTTCATATCCCGACTTGGATGTTACGGCTACCCGGTAATCGGATACTCGAATTTTGCGGGTACCCATAATTCGAGTAATCAGGTACCTAGTTTTTATCATTTTCAAATTATTAATTAAAAAAACATACACAAATTTAAATATTCGAATTACATACTCCAACATCCAAATATAGAATTTAAAAGTGGGTTTTTTCATGGGAGTTTTTTTTATAAATTTTTTATTAGTTTAATTTAATATATAAAATTATTAATAGTTAAATATGTAATATTATTATATATATAAATAAAAGTAATTGGGTACGAGAAAGTTTCGGTACCCAAAAAATTTAATTTTGTGACCTGGGTACGACCCGAGAAATGTCGGGTCGAGTATTCGACCGGAACTTAAATTTAAAAAAATATTCAAATTTTTTAATCGGGCCGACAGATCGAGTCATTTGGATTGGGTATTTTTGAACACCCCTACTTGGGTGTCTAATCCTATTGTTCATGGTCGATATTTGGTCTTGCCGTCCCTTCTACGGGGAGAGAAAAATAAAATGGTTTTATTTCAGCAGTGAACTACTAAGAAACTATTCAACTAAAAGGATGAAACACTTCTGCGACTTGGTACAAGTTCTTATTTATTGTATGAGTGTATTCCTTCTTCCATTTAATGCTGGCGATGAGCCGCAAAAGATGATGAACTTCTTTTGGTGGGGTTTGAAGGATTATGATCGTGAAAAGCATTCACTAGAATGCACGTGACATGCTGCGTATCCCCAAGAAGGTAAGAGGCATGGGTTTTCGAGACTTGCACTATTTCAATCCAACAATGTTCGTAGTACTAAATTGCGGGTGTAGTTGCGGCATCACGGTTGTGGCCTCTTTACTCTTTAGCTGCTCGTAAAGAGGCAAGAGCATATTATATCGTGGTCGGATGCAACTCGAGTTTTAAAGTTTGCTCAGCCAGCTTTTGTGGGGGTCTGCAATCGAGGAAGCTAGGTATGACGCTCAAGATGGACAGGTTTCTGATGCCGGTGCAAGTTCTTCAAGTGGCTCGCACGGGCAGAGCCTACTGATCACCAGAAACCTCTTCTAGTTTACGTATTCGGAGTACACAAAAGCTGTAGGATGAATTGATAATCACTGAGGAACGAATTTGAATATAAAGTTAAAAATTCACCTGTAGGTAACATGCACAAAGAGGTCAGTTTGTCACTTCGAATCTACAAAGGTTGTCCCTTGAAGAAATTCTCAGTAGGACATGAACTGATTCAGCTTCAACATTAAATTTTTACTTTCTTATCATATAGAGGCCTTGTTCAGTATAATATGAACTAATTCAACTTCAGGTTTTAGTTGGAATCTGACCAAATATATCCATTTGAATCAGATTAGTAAGATACCAGCATAAAAGCCCATGGCTTTTGTTTTATGCGACGCCCAAGTCTGGGCCAGCCTACACTTTAGGATCTTATAAAGATGAGATAGGCCAGTTCATGATTCAGTTGGGAACCAACTAGATATCCCACATTAGCTATGTAAAGATAAAACCGACAGTTTATAATGAACTAAGCAGCTATCTATATTCGTCCCTTCGGGGACATCTGATAAAATTGGAACGATACAGAGAAGATTAGCATGGCCCCTGCGCAAGGATGACACGCACAAATCGAGAAATGGTCCAAATTTTTTTTAAATTTTTTCCCCTTGATTTTTTGTTTCCATCTCTTTATCTGACCATTTTCTTTGAGTTCTTGTGCTTCGTTTGATGTTCGATTTCATGGGTTTTGCTCAATCTGGGTTTCTTCCTTTTTAGCAATTTTGAACAGTGAATATGATTTCGACATTTATTGTTAGGGATTTGAGATAGTTTGATGTGTGAGTTTATTGAAGTAGGTTGTGGAATTCCCCTGGTCTTCTGTTGCCATCTCTGTATCTGATTATTTCCTTTGCGTTGTTGTGCTTAGTTTGATGTTCGATTTCATAAGTTTTGCTCAATCTGGTTTACCTTGTGGATTTTCCATTTCAAGTTCCAAATAATTATACAACTTCGATTGCTGGTAACTGGTACCATTGAGCAATGCATTTGAATTGAAAGTTTAATGTTCACCTGCAGTTGAGCTGCTGAAAGAGGTTAGAACTTAGAATGACCACAAAAATTCATGTATTTGTCTTGTTAATTCAGACTCTGACTTTCAGTTTGTCACTTTGAATGCATAAAGATTGTCCCTTCAGAGAATGCGACTCGAACTAATTCGGCTTTAACCTTTAGCTGTTGCTTTCTAACTTATAAAAACCTTGCTCGGTGACATTAGCGAATTCAGCTCCGTTGGTCAGAGTTCACCTGCAGTTGAGCTGTTGGAAGAGGTTAGAATGACCACAATTTCATGTATTTGTCTTGCTCATTCAGACTCTAAATGACTCTCAATTTGTCACTTTGGATGCATAAAGGTTGACCCTTCAAAGAAATTCGCAATGTGACCCGAACTAGTTCATCTTCAACCCGTAGCTGTTGTTTCTAACTTGTAGAGGCCTTGCTCATTGTGGCATGATATAATTCAGCTACAGTTTGAATAAGAACAGTAAAACCCTTCCTTATAGAAACCTGCCTACGGCATAGATTAGCAATATATAGTGCTTTTTTACTGAGAATTGTCAGGTTTATGACAACATAGTTTAGCAAGTTAGATCCACTACCTCCTTCCCATTGGATCTAGACCAACTGATAAATTTTGTTTTTACTACTCAGAAAACCAAGATGGTCAGTCACAGGTAAACTTCAAGGATTCTTCAATCTGTTATCAAATCATGAGTCAATGTTATTGTAACATTGCACCATATTGTTGTTAAACCACTTGGCTGATAGGAAAAGATGTGTCTGCATGCACTTGTATGCATCACCTTGATAGATCAATTAACAATTATTCACTAAAAACAGGCAGCCCCCTTGTAGATTAGCCCTCATATATGCCATTACATGGCTTTGTTTCCTATGAACACCTGAATTCTACTATTTCATTAAAGGGATTGTATCTAGCCTTGAGATTATATAAGTTCATCCCAGTTGCATTGCCTCACATCAAGCACACCAATTGCATTTAGTAATCAGAGTTCTAAGACCTAAAAATTCCCTTTTTTTCTTCCTTCTATCTCATAGTCTTTCCTACTAAACCAAGCAAAGCAAGATGATCAGTGCCAAGAAGCTTATCAAGTTAGCAAAAAGATGACAAAAAAGGTGCTTCTATTAGGAGAAAGAGAATCATATTACCAAGAACCCCGAGGGATTCCGAGACGAACAGTTGCAGCACATCATTGGTGGTCGACAAGGGTGGCATTGTTGTATTACAGTGTGGATCAGAAGCAGTTTGTGCTTCCTTTGGAGTATCTAAAGAACAAAATTGTCTTGTAATTGATCCCCACTTTTGTATATTAAAGTATATAATTCGAAAACATCAAAAATTTTGTCTCTCATGCCTGGTTGCCTTGAACCTTGATAGGGAACTTATTTCTCATCTACCATATTACATGAACAAGTTCATACTAGAAACACTGACTTACCATGTCAACTAATACTCTTACTGAACAGTTTTACCAAGAATATATATCTGAGATTCAGAATTGGAATCCTCTGTTAATATATAATTTGAACATAACCTCTGTTAATACAGGAATTGAACTCGAATATTTATCTGTCATGTTTTAATATATGGGTACTACGATGCTAGATCCTGCACATGCCACAGTTCTGAAACTGTATTAAAGGCGTAAATTATCTGGGTTTCCGCAAATAAAATTGTATTTGTATTAGTCTCTTTTTTTGATCTCCATTTACGATCAGTCGTGACCTTTACCGATGACATGAACGGATCACTCTCTTCATACAAATGTGTAAAAGACGAGAAGACTTTCTTTGATTTCTTCAGGTTCTGCTTTCTGGTAAAATTTACTTCACGTGTAATTTTAAAGCAGCAACTAACTGAAAATCAGTTTCTGTGATCTCGGTTTCCATTCAGTTATGTTTGTTTCATGACTATATATGTCAATACTCGTCCACTTTGATCTTTTCTTGGATGGTCTGTCAACCTTAACCATGCAAGAAAGAACCAGGAGACCCACAAAACAGTGTAATGCCAGAAGCAATCAAATGTGACGGAAGAAAAAGCCTTACAACATACCACCGAAGAAAATGGAACACTTTTCTACCTCCGATCTGAACCCAAAGACGATTCTAACTCGTTGGCAACCTAGTCTTCCTCCACTAGAATGGTCACCTGTTCCCTTGTGCAGAAAACGTGTAAAATATAACCCTACTAGCAGAGATTGCACTTTAACCTCAATGACAACTTCCTTAAAGGTGTCCATTTGTCATCTAAGTGAATCACCATTAGAAGTCCAACATATAAACAGCTTCAGTTCATGATAATCAAGCTCGATTTAAACGAATAAAGTGAAGGGAATTGTATTTAAGATTCTCAGCAGTCCAAGTACACAGGTATACCATCAAAGTTTGTTCATGTAAAATCAAGAACCAACCATAATCTTGTTCATCAACATACTAGGTATAATTATTCTCAATTACATATCAGAAACCATTAAACATATTTTTCATTGGGTAGAGCGCAATACCTATGGCCCAAGCATAGCATCCTAATTCACTTTCAGGAGTCATTTTCAGCGGTTTCCCTTCTTAGTTCCTGAAGCCTTTCTTTCATTTTCTTACTCTGTTCAAAATTGGCCTTCCTCTTCAATGCTTTCTGCCCAAGAGAAAAACACAAGTATATCAGACAGAATGACGACAATGATACTATTTCCCCAGAGCTGAAAATAACTCACTTCCTGTCGGAAACAACGATCGAGCTTTATCTTTAATTCTGTACATTCTCCGAAGAATTTGGCTATCGGATGCTCTAAATGACACTTTTGGAACTCCTCGATGATCTGCCAAAACATAAACTCGTGATTATTTAACAAGAACAAACCCTTCCTTCCAATCCAACAATTAAAAACTTTAGATTCAACACCAAGATTGTACTTACTTCAACACACATCGGATGCCTATGCAACGTCAGTGGAGGGTGCATTTTTCCAGCAGAAAATATGTTCAACGATCTGTATTATGAAATATAGACCAGCAACAGATTTGAGATCAACTGAATGAAAAAATTTCTGAACGGGAAGTTGATGGGGAAAATTACCCAAATGATCTCACCAAAAGCGTTTCAAATCAATTTTTCTTTAGCCAGGATGGAATATTTTAACAAGAATATTCACATTAAATTGTGAAACAATAAATATGTTAGTTCTCACAGTAAATTAAAAGGACAACAAAAGACCAAACCCAAAGGTATACTGATGGAGATGGCAGAAACATACAGTTCTCAGTTCCTCGTGACTCGTAACCAGAAAATGAACTTTATGACGAATGCAACAACAAAGCAAGACCGCAACTCTGCGAGGTGAAGAGATAAATGGTACTGTTAAAACTTTTGTGTGCAATACCTAAATCATCCTGCTTTCTTAGTTTTTATAGTTGCTCAAATTATAGTATTAGGCCCTCTATAATGTGAAAATTACACATTTAGTCCCTATACACTAATTTGATTAATTTTGATCCCTATACTTTTTGAAATTTAAATTTCAATCATTACCTAAATGGCAAATTAACAATATGACTAAAGTATAAGTACCAAAAAAATTATCAAATTGGAGAAAAATAATTAAGGGTGTATTTGGACATGAGAAGTTGTAAGTAAGTGTACTTACTAGAGCAGTAATTACACTGCCTTGTAGGAATTCTAATTCCATAAACTTGTTCGTTTAGCAAAGTGTAATTACGTACAATTCAATAGACCCAGAAATTAAAAATGAATTTAAAAGGTTTGAAGGTCATTATAAATAATTATCAAATAGTTTCACCTACTCTCAATCAACCCCTACAAGAAATGATGGTTGACTCCGGGCTGCTCAAGTAACACTCAATTCAGTGAAATCTACTAGTTCCAATGATTAACGAGACATGCCACACAAATGATATTTTATATGCAATTACATCCAAATCCAATTTTTAGATGGCTTCTCAAACACATCCTAAATCTACAAGACTACAACTTACGTGTAGCATAATAACTAATAGTAGAATTTAACTTACATAATGACTTCAAATATTTAAGTAAAAATAGAATAAAATGACTAAATATGCAACTTATGCGTAGTGCAAGGGAAGCTTAATTTGAGCTTAAACAAAGCAAATGGGAAGCTTAGAGCATAAGTTTCCAATCTCTATATTGTTTATTATGATCTGAAGCGTTTACTATGCATAAGTTGTGAATCCCTATATTTAAGTTGTCTCACTGTAAATCAAAATAATTCATCTAGTTTTTCGATTAATTTGAGCCTAAACAAATCAAAGGGGAAGCGTTTTCCTGCAATCACCATTGGAGAAAATAAGCATGATTCCCTCTAATTTTAAAACAATTCACAAAAGTAGCATAATTTTAAAATAATCAACAAAAGTTGCAAAATATATAGATTTATTTTAGTGTATTCCCCTATCATTAACTAAAAATAATTCAAATAATAAAAAGAACTACAACCTCTAGCTAATCAATGACTCAAATCTATGCATTTGAAAGAAAAAAATGAAAATAATAATAATAATTTAGCTTCCTAAAATTCATTGTCGTCACCAGTGTACGCAATACAATCACTGAGCTAAATTGCCACCAAATTCAATCAATAATTTTTTTTTTTTTTTTAAATCTCAACAATAACAGATAAAGGGCTGAAAAACCGATAAAGAACAAAAATGGATAAAAAGTTAGACCGGCTAAGAGCTTACAAAGAGAATAATCTTGATCCGTTGATGCCGGGAGACGAAATGGAGAATCGAAAGGGATCAACAAACCCTAAAACTGATTTGCAAATTAGTTTGGGGGAATAAGGGACCGGGAATTTACCTTGGCGGCGTCTATGGCAATAGCGGATTGCTTTTTCTTATAAACCATAAATTGTTTCCCCCCCAATAAAATTAGTTTTTTTTTCCTGTTTTTATTGTGGTTTTATTTTTGAATAATTTATTGTATTAATTTGTGGTAGTATTTGTAAGTAGTTAGCAATAATAAAATAATTACACATTTTGGAAGATATTAATCTATTTAAATGAAACTAAATTTATATATATATATATATATATTGTTTAACTTTATTTTTTTAGGGTAAATTATAAGTTTATTCACTGAATTTTACTTTTTCTCTTATTTTGCTCTTTATACTTTGAATTTTTTTAATTTTCTCACTGAATTTTAGACGTTAAACTTTTTTTGTCACTCAACCGTTAACTTTTTAACGGAGTTATGACGTGGATTACTTAAATATATTTTTAATCATTAAAAAACAAATAAAAAATAAAATAATTAAAAAAAATCATTTTCATCGCTTCTTCTTCCTCCTCTCATTTTCTCTCTAATTTTCTCCTCAATTTGTACAAACTCGAATTTCGATCATCATGTCAATTATTGTTTGACCACCACCAGCCACTTTCGTCGGAGTTCAATGACTCTCAAAATTTCCATCCAACACATTTAACCATTTTAAAGACAAATTTGGCATTCTTTTAACTAGAAAACACCCAAAATGATACAAACCCTACATTCCAAATTGTAACCCCCACCCCTCCCTCACCATGGGAGCATCTTCAGTTTTTTCTTGATTATGACAATGGCTCATTCACAAGTAAATCCCAAAACAATTGTCATGTTTCGATTCCGAATCCGTCGATAATAAGCTTGAAAACTCCTTATGAACCTTGATTTCAACAGCAACGTTGCTGGTTTTTAACAAATCCCAATACCATTACCTTTTGCTTTTATCATATATCCCTTGCTTTTGTTGCTCTGCAAATTAAATTTGAGGCTTTTTCTTCATCTTGCATGACTTCTATCTTTGTCGTAGGATAAGGATGGATGGAGTTGCAATTTTGAATTTAGAATTTGGGTCTTCGAAAGGGGAGAAAGATGCCATTGATTATTTGAGATTTAAGGTTTGGATTTGGGGTTGAAGGTTTGATAACAAAATTTAATAATTTTATTTTTATTTTTTAAAATTATAAATCTGATGTAACATATTTTATTATTAAAATAAGTCATGTAATAACTTTATTAATGAGAAAATGGTCGAGTGACAAAAAAATTTAACGTATAAAATTACTGAGCAAATTGAAAAAATTGAAAGTACAGTAAATGAAATAAGAGAGAGGGTAAAGTTTAGTGAGTAAACGTGTAATTTACCCTATTTTTTATTAGTATAATTTTTATACAATCCATGAGAATTCATAAAATTAAACATATTTAAATGTATAATATCTTTATTTTTTTTTGGTAAACTAAAACTGTAGAAACTTAAAGACAGATTATCTTTTGCCTTGGGCATTATTCTCTAGCTGGAATAACAATGGAACCCCCCTTGGTGGGTTCTTGAAGATTAAACACTCCCCGGGCTCGATTCTCGCAAGCTTGGCGAGTCGATCAGCAATCATGTTTCCCTCTCGTGCAATATGCTTGGGTTCCAAGGGCCATTCCCTCTGTAAAAGTTCATCAATCCTGCTCAACAGCCTGAAGGTTCCACCCGTATGTTTTAAGCAATTGAACTACTTCCAAATCGTCGATTTCCAGTTTGATCTTTCTTTCCCCTAGCTTCCATGCTAATTCCAGCCCTTCAAAGACTCCCCACAGTTCCACCTTGACTGCGGTACATATTTCGATACAGTGACAGATTCAGAAATATTTTTTAAGATAGAAAAAAATAATTTTTTAGGTAGCGCTCAACCGGAAATATTAAAAAAAAGATTAACATTTCCAGTAACACCTTTCATTAACCTTATATTAAGCTACCGTACAGCAGAACTACCCCGCCATCAAGCGACTATACCAGCACAACCATAGACGGCTAGAACAGTTCATGAACGAATCGAAATCTTGACCCGTTTGCGTCACAAGAATCTGGTGTCTCTTTATGGCTGCACATCACGCCGCAGCCAGGAACTTCTACTTGTTTAGGAATACATCCGTAATGGTACCGTTGCGGATCATCTGCACGGCGATCTTGTGCGGTCTGGTTTGCTCACATGGCCGATTCGTATGAACATCGCAATCGAAACCGCAAGTGCATTAGCTTATCTCCATGCCTCGGATATCATACATCGTGATGTTAAAACCAACAACATTCTCCTGGACTAAAATTTTTCTGTCAAAGTAGCAGATTTCAGGATTTCTCGGCTTTCCCCCAATGCTGTCACACATATATCATCCGCACCACAGGGGACCCCTGGCTACGTCGACCCCGAATATCACCAATGTTACCAGCTCACCGGAAAGAGCGATGTCTATAGCTTCAGAGTTGTTCTCGTCGAACTCGTATCATCAATGCCTGCGGTCGATATCAGTAGACACAGGCATGAGATTAATTTGGCTAATTTAGCCATAAACAAGATTCAAAAGTGTGCATTCGATGAGTTGATTGATCCCAACCTCGGGTATAACTCGGATGACGACTGCGGTTGCGGTGTTGGCTTTTCGATGTTTGCAACAAGAGAAAGAGATGCGGCCCCCAATGGAAGAGGTTTTGGAGGTAATGCAGACAATACAAAGTGATGGTCCCAGGTTGAGTAGTGTGCAGGAGGAGGAACATATCAATGATGAGATCCAGAGGAGCATAGTACCGCCTCCTTCACCACCGACCGGCGATAAAATCGCATTGTTGAAGAATATCCGACTGCCATCGTCGCCGGTTTCGGTGACAGATAAATGGATTAGCAGGGATACTACACCTAATGCTACTGGATAGGTTTTTGTTTACCACTGCCAACAGCAAATAGAGGGTGAAAGCTTTCATTGTTCTCCTCATTTGCCCATTTTGTTGAGGGAATGTACATAGTAAATGGAGCATTATAATCATAATACATGCTTTAAAAAAAAGTTGAATTTTAATATTAAATTATAAATATTTGAATAAAAAATTATATAAATATTTTAATCATTATACTATCTAACTTTTGAAAAAAAATACATTTAATATATAAGTAATATATTAATTTTATACTTTTAAATATTTTTCATAAGTATCATATTTATTTATAAAAAATATAATATAATTTGAAAAAAATAATATTATGATCTTGAGTGCTCAAATATATTATTTTTCAATGTATAAGATTTATTTTTAATAACTTAAAGTTAGATATTATTTTAAATAATTACATTTTTATAATCATATTATTTTTCACCTTATAAAATTATAAATAACTAATATATTGAATATTAAAAATATTAAATAATTTTAAATACTCCAATTTATTAATATTTTACTAAATTAAACTCTTTGAATATTATTATTATATTTATAATTTTGAGTAAAGTAAAAAAATAATTTATTAATATTATTATTATCATTAGTCTAGTGTTATTCTTGTCCAAAATGGTAAGAATTGTCTAATACCTAAGAATTTGTAGGTAACGACATTCCTACCATTTTACTAAAAAAATACTACTATTGGGAAAAATTATTCTCAAATGGTAATCTTTTCCGTGAACAAACGTGAGAATGTTATTTTGAGAAAGATAATTCTCTTTGGTAGTATATTTTCGCGAACCAAACTCCTCTGTGGCTGATCTAGAAATTTAAGAGTAAATATCTTAAATTTTAATATTATTTTCTTAAAATTAATGGTATGCAAAAGTTTTTATTTTTTCCATTTTTTTAACATATTAAATTAAATTATACATTTTTTTACTAAATAATAGGGATGCATTTGGCTCCTTAGAGGCTCAATGCATCCGCTCTTACCCCTAAGGTTTAATTACAAATAAGTGTCCATACTATACCTATTTTTTTATTTAGGTGTCTAATATTTTCTATGTGGGTGTCTAATATTTTCTTTTGCCAAAATTGGTCCAATGTTACAATTTTAAATGTTTAATCTGTCAACAGTCAAGTATTGTGGGTTTGTACACATGTCCCATTCCAACTCTCATCTGCAAGTTAAGATTTAACAACGTAAAAGAATTCAACATAAAAAATATTTGTCATATATGGGCATGTGTCTATCACTTTATCAATAATAAAATTGGTCCCAAAAGCACATTTATTTTGTCTCATTGGTTGACCCAAACTCCTTTCACGGGAGACATTCCACTCTGTTACAACTTACACTAGTATGTGTATATATACATACATACATATAGGTTAAATGCTTAAATAAAGATCCAATTTCCGGGTACCGTGTACATGAGGGCTTAACTTTTTAAAATAGTCAAATAAGGACTTAACATTGCTGAAACATGAATCTACTCAAATAAGATTCTAACATTTCAAAAGGTAAAATAAGAACTTGACGTTTTCGAGTTTGTTTAGATAAGGATATAAAAATGTCTATATGCTCAAATTGAGGCTCTTATTTAAAAATATTTTTGAAAAATTAGGCCTTTATTTGAATAGATAATTAGGCCTATTATTTTGAAAATAAGGGTAAATTATACATTTAGTACCTAAACTATTAGTTTTGATCCGTTCTAGTACCTAAACTTTTAATTTTTTAAAAACTTAACGTTAAATTTTGAGCGGGGTACTAAAATAAAACAAAGACTAAAGTTTTTAACGGTGAGGTACTAAAATAAAACAAAAATTAAATTTTAAGTATGATTTTAAAAAATTGAAAGTCTAAATGTTAAACGGATCAAAACTGATGATTTAAGTACTAAACGTATAATTTATCCTAAAAATAAAGAGACCAAGAGAGAAAAGGATGCTACTTCATGGATGCTTCTCCATGACATGACTTAGACCCAGAAAGAGAGAAAAGGATGCCACTTCATGGATGCTTCTCCATGACATGACTTGAAGCTAACTCCATCCAACCTCCCCCACCTACTTATATTTTAAAAGTCAAGCAGCTAGTGTCAATTGGAATCCATGGTAGGGTTTTGATTTTTTGAGTCACCCACGTTGTTTGGG